GGCCGGGCTGGCCGGGGGCCGGGCGGTGGCGGCTCCTCCCGCCGCTGCCGCCGGGCACTGCCAGCCCCCGCTCCCCCCGCAGCCCTCGGGCCGCCGCCTCCGCCGGGGGAAAGGGGGTTTTCTGCCCCCGGAACGGCAGCGGGCGGCGCTCGGCGGCCCTGCCAAGGCACGGTTAGTTTCCCCGGGTGGCTGGAGGGGTGGCTTTGGGGCTGGCACCGCTCGGGGACTGCCCCAACCCTGACATCGAAATGTCGGACCGTGATTACGGGCGTCCCGCGGAATTTTGTACGCGCAGGAATAACCACGCGGAATTAGATCAGTGCTTGTAACCTGCAGGACCCATGAATCGCAGAATCACAGGATGTTTTCGGGTTGGAAGGGACCCTAAAGATCATCTAGTTCCTACCTCCCTCTAGAGCAGGTTGCTCAAAGCCCTATCCAGCCTGGCCTTGAACACCTTCAGGGATGGGGCATCCACGCCTTCTCTGGGCAACCTGTTCCAGTGCCTCACCACCCTCACAGGAAAGAATTTCTTCCTAATATCTAATCTAAATTTCCCCTCTTTCAGTTTAAAACCGTTGCACCTCATCCTATGGCTACTGTCCCCCATAGAGTCCCTCCCCATCTCTCCTGTAGCCCCCTTTAGGTACTGGAAGGCTGCTATAAGGTCTGTCCAGAGCCTTCTCTTCTCCAGGCTGAACAACCATGCAGAAATCATTAGCCACTTTTAATAACCTGTTTTCTCAGTGCTGTCCTTGTTGTCTTTTTATTTATGTTCTTTAAGTTCAGCTCAATAATCTAGAGGAAATTAATATTGCAAATTGAAAAGATATTAAAAGTATGTTTTTGTTCCCTTCCTGACAGTCAATGGGGAAAATGCCCTCTTTAAGAAGTAATACAACATATTCAACTGCAATAAAATGGAATTTAAGTGAAGCTATTTTGGAAAGCTGTTTAATAATTGGTCCACCTTGTACAGGAGATAGAGCATTAGGCTGGTTTGGCTTAGAAAAAAGAACTTATTCCAGTTCTCAAGTGAAAATGCAGAATTAAACTTTGGTGACAGACTAGCATAGCTGGAAGCAAACTGGTAAGATCTTAAACTGGCATTTAAAAAAAAAAAAGAAAGAATTAATCTCTGCCCCAGAACACTTCAGAGTCTTTCTAAGCTAACTGGAAATAAAGACATTTTTCAAAAAAGTCAATTTGTGCAATGTTTCTGAAATTGACTTTTTAACTGATTTAACAGACCTCAGTACAATTCTAATTTAAATTTAACACCCCCTGCCCCAAGAAGCAGTTCTGATAAAACATGACAGGAAAGATTTCTAAAAAACCTGTGTTTTACAAAAGTTTTAGTTTCCAGTCAGTTAACCAATCTTGTCTTGATCAGCATTGTACATTTTAATGTTCATTATTCATCAATGTGTTGAGAGTTCTCATAATTTGTGTGAAATTTAGAATAAAATTCACTTTGTGGGAAATGAGCTAAGTTTTGCTTCAGCTAATTGATGTATCCTTGTTAGTGGGATAATACTAACAAAGAAGCCTTAGTAATAGTAGAGTCTAATAAATTGTATCCAATTAATCCCCAGAAATGCCCTTGGTCTGTCAAGGGATCCTTGTTCACAGAGCGTTATCTAGGTGAAGAGAAACAGACTAGAACATGGCCTTCAACACAAAAACCCAGAAGGTAGGGGAGTATCAATAAGGCCAAAGAAACCAGTCTGGTAAATCTGCCAAGTAGATGGTAGCAAAGACTCTGAAATAACGTGTAGCATAATCAACTAATCAAAGGCGTGTTTAAGATAATGATTTTGTAGAATAGGTGTATGTGTGCCTTATATGGGAAAAAGTGCAAAATAAACCTGTAATAGGTCAAGCAGTCGGGAAGAATGTGAGCTCCAACTTCTCAGCCAATGAGAAGGGAGACAGAAACTCAAGCGGCCAGGATAAAGGTATAAAATACCTGAAAGCTAAAAGATCATCGTGCATCTATTTTTGCTGCATCCGATTCAGCGCTGTTTTGTATTAATAAATTATTAATTTTTTTTAACCTTTGCTTCGGTGACTTTGTCCTCTTTAAATTCTAAGATGTGAGTCAGTACTTCTCACAACTTCACACTGTTGCACTTTAAAAATATGTTAAAAAGTCATTTTGCCTTGAAATACAAATGTGAAATGTATGTGAAATTTAACTTTTTCCTTAAAAAGTCATTTTGCCTTGAAATACAAATGTGAAATGTATGTGAAATTTAACTTTTTCTTGATTATATCAAGAAAAAATAATCAAAATTATTAGTAATTTTTCATCTAGACAGAAAGAGTAGCTGCATTATCTGATTAAGAAAAATAATTTTAAAAGAACAATGCCAATGATGAAGGCTGATGCTAGAATTTGATGGCTTGCTGTCATCACATGCTAATATCTCCTTTCACTGTTGATCTGGCCCTTTTTGAATGATTCTCCTTAAGCTTCATATTACATTCTTATTGTGAATAAAGGAAAACAGCAAGTAGAACAAATATTTTTAATAAAATCCAAATTCCAAGCAACTGAAGTTCATGGAAAGACACTAGAATCAGGAGTAAGGCCTGCTTTTACCAAGCAGAATCAATCATAGTTCTTGTTTGCCTTCTATCAGCCTAGGAAAAGCTATCTTATACTTAGAATTATGGAATTGTCTAGGTTGGAAGGGACATTTAAGATGACCTAGTCCAACCATCAGCCTAAAGCTGATAAAAAACCATCACTAAACCATGTCACTAAGCACTACATCAACCCATCTTTTAAATACCTCCAGGGATGGTGCCTTAACCACTTCCCTGGGCAGCCCGTTTCAATGCTTAATAAACCTTTCAGTGTAAAAATTTTTCCTAATATCCATCTTAAACCTCCCCTGGTGCAACTTGAGGCCATTTCCCCTTGTCCTATTGCCTGTGACCTGGGAGAAGAGACTGACCCCCACCTCTCTACACCCTCCTTTCAGGTAGTTGTAGAGACCAATAAGGTCTCCCCTCAGCCTCCTTTTCTCCAGGCTGAACAACCCCAGTTCCTTCAGCCTCTCCTCATAAGACTTCTTCTCCAGACCCCTCACCAGCTTTGTTGCCCTTCTCTGGACCCACTCCAGCACCTCAATGGCTTTGAGGGCCTCACTGGTGCCAAGTACAGGGGGACAATCACCTCCTGAGTCCTACTCACCACACTGTTCCTGATACAGGCCAGGAGGCTGTTGGCTTTTTTGGCCACCTGGGCACACTGCTGGCTCATGTTCAGCCTGCTGTCGACCAACACCCCCAAGTCCTTTTCTGCCAGGCAGCTCTCCAGCCACTCTGCCCCAAGCCTGTAGCACTGCCTGGGGTTGTTGTGACCCAAGTGCAGGACCCAGCATTTGGCCTTGTTGAACCTCATCCCGTTGGTCTCAGCCCGTCAATCCAGCCTGTCCAGATCCCTCTGCAAAGCCTTTCTACCCTCCAGCAGATCAACACTTGGTGTCACCTGCAAACTTGCTGAGGGTGCACTCACTCTGCTCGTCCAGATCACTAATAAAGGTGTTAAGAGAACCAGGCCCAATGCCGAGCCCTGGGGCACACCAGTCATGAATCCAGCCAACTGGATTTGACTCCATTCACCACCACTCTCTGGGCCCAGCCCTCCAGCCAGTTTTTAACCCAGCAGAGAGTACTCCCACCCAAGCCATGGGCAGCCAGTTTCTCCAGGAGGGTACTGTAGGAGACTTTATCTAAGGCCTTACTGAAGTCCAGGTAAACAACATCCACGGTCTTTATAGAAACTTGATAGAAATAACTTAAGATTAGAATGGGATGGGTTTTTAAACTATAAATTAAATATTTTAATTGTATTAGGTTATTATCTGAATTTCAAACATGACCAAATAAAACATTCTCCTCAGCAGCAGAGTAGTTTCGTGGTGCGTCACTAGGTGGTGCTCTGCCCCTTGGTTCGAGCCAGCACGGCCGTTTGGGGTGGTGTAGGCTGTGGTGGGCCCCGCTCACAAATGAGGATTGTCATGTCACAGTTGCAGAGAACACCAGGAAGCAAGGCTCAGAACGGATAAGAGATTTAAACATCCACATCCAAAATGTAATACCAAAAACTCTTTCTTATGTGTTCACTCCTGCAAGTCCCCAAATTGCCAAGTTTTCCTGTTATGAGAGCACTAACGACTAGGCCAGAGAGGTGCACGCTGGCTCCTGCTTTCTCTCTCTCTCTGGTTGAGAAGCCCAGGTTGGAGCCTTTGCTCTCAATCCCCTCGTCTACATGCACAAGATGCTGACTATATGATATGCTTCATCTAAGTCTTGTATCCAACTGCAACCACTTTCCTGGGAGATGGGTATGATGAGGGTCCACATTCACTTACGAATCTTCACTGCTCTTTCCAATATGTAATGTTTCTTGCCAAGGCAAAAAAACATTTAAAATCCTGGAGTACCCAGGAACTCACAGTGATTTAACTGTGAATTAAGACAGTAACCATTCAACCTGCTTGGTATGTTGTGGTGGGGCAGCCACAGGAAGGGAGATAAACATTCACATTGTCAAGACTACTTGTAGTTTTTAAGAGCTTTTTTCACATTACCCATCTTCAGACTTGTTTATCAGCATCAACAACAGAAATACTGCAGCAGTGAAAACTCACAGGCATTTTTCTCTGGTTTCAATCCATTGTTTTCCAGAAAGTCACCCAGAATGTAGAGAAGAAAACCAGACAAAAACTCGTTTCCCAACTCCAAGCTTCTGCTTTAATCACAAGGTTCTTATTATTTCTTATGAGTGTGTTGTTTATTCACAGAGAATGAATCTTGGTGCTGCCTGCACTTAAGGCTCATCTTTCTTACCAAGAAACTTTCTCACCTGG